GTGGTAATTATTAATTTAATTATTAATCTGATTTCTGAATTAATAGTTTAGTGTAATTTTTATGAGACTGATCAATCGATTATTGGTTAGGGTTAGGCTTAGGGTTCTTATCAAGGAAGATCTATAAGCCAAATTTAACCACATGGACAGGACAAAAAATATGATTATTGTGGGAAATAAGACATCAGGTGAGGTCACTATGGCTCTGTTGGATAAACTCACTGCTGAGCATGATAAAGAAAATATATTAGAATGATTTTCAGTGGGTTTCTTTCTTTCTTTTTCTATGGGTAATGTGCCATTGTAACACACTACCGAAGTCCCTGTTTCTCTCTTGTGTTTTCAGGTCACTTTGGTGTGATTTCAAAACGTCTCCTTATGTAAGACCTGCATTTATTTATTCTCCGTGTTTGATGTATCAGTGACTAAAATCCAGCCCAGCTTAGTTAGACTGTACTGATATTCGTGTGTACCCATTCATTCAGGAATCTAGGCCTATTGTTAAATTAAAACTTCTTTCTCAGCCCCCTGGTAGTAAATTAGTAGGCTTGTGGAGGAGACTGGCACCACACGGGCACAAATTTCCACACATGGGGGTAGAGAGAGGGGACGTGCTTGTGCTCACTGGAGGGGAAGGTGGGAGGGAGGTGGGGTCTGTATCGTCAGCTCAGAGTGTGGAGGGAGGGCCCGCCTTGTGGCTTCCTGGCCCCCTGCACCGGACGGGTGTATTATAGATGCGCATGCAAGCAGCCGGGCGGCGGGGGCCACTGGACGGGTGCAATGTGACGGGGTCGGGGAGAGACACTGGGACACAGCCTAAACCGCGCGGTGAGGGAGGGTTTAACCATTAACCACCATTAACCATTAAGGGAGCTGTGCGGAGCCGGTACCGTACATAAGGCGTGCGCACCGGCGTCCACGCCTCAGCCTGAGCGCGTTAGCAGGAGGCGGAGGATGCACGCAGCCGGCCACACGGATCCCATGCGCTGTTACTGACCATCACTCCGGTTTGTCCGCTTCTCCTCTCCGGACCGCTGACACTTAGAAGGTAACCGAGGAGCTTTTTTATGACTACCTGCGGGACATTTCAGCCGCTGTTACATAGGAGAGAGAGCAGGAGAGTGGCTGTGGGAGTCACATTATGCCTTTATCTAACGGAATGTGACAGTCAAACTGCAAAACCCCAGCTTCTGCCCTAGGTGTGTGTGTGTGTGTGTGTGCGCGCTGTGGTGATGGTAGAGAATTGGAAATGATGGTGCGTTTGCATTCATTCTCATGAGTTAAATACTCGTGGTGATAGTGGCAGTGACATGGGGCTCCAGCCCGGTGTTGGGACAGAAAGCCCTCTGCCCTTGTTCAAATGAGCAGTAGAATAGAAAAGGAGGGCTAGTCTATTCAGTCCTGACCAGGGGAGCACTAATTTACGCCTTTGCCATGTTGGGTTCGGGCGGTATTGGTCCTGACTACTAAACAGAGGATTGTTTCAGCGGGGAAAGCCAAGTCTGTGTGCGGATGTCGCAACATGCAGGCGGAGGAGAGCTGCGTCAGGGCAGCGTCAATTAGACTGGAAGCAGGTGGAGGGGCCTTCAAAATAAAAGCGTTTGTTTCTTTTGTTATGCAAGGAATATAACTTTTGGGCAAATGTACGATTTGTTTCATGTCTGTGTGAGGAAACTGTGTGGGAATCTTTCATACTCTGATGCTGAACTGAGCTTATAATTGATCTTGTAGCTGTCACACCAGAGATCACTCAGGTTTGTCACTACTGAAGTTCTTGAATATTTTATCAAGTCATTGTTCCCTTCACCGCCAGTGTTAATATAAGAATAAGCTTATGAATGAAAACAAGGAAAGACTTGCTAAACTCACTGTAGGAAACTAACTAATTTATTTATAATATGCATGGCAAGGTGAAATATTTTCCTACATTTGACACTAAATTCCCTTCGTAGTTGACGCTTGGTCTCTCAAACATAATGCGCTTTTAAATGTTATTTCTTACTTGTATAATTTGGGAAGAAGCTCTGTATTACAGTTTCCTTAAATTAACCTTTTACATTTCTTATTTGAATTTGAGAGTGACTGATGTTGCTTTACTTTGAAAGGTGTGACAGGAATTGCTGTCTTTGCATTGGGGCTGTGTTGACGGTGGGGTGACACTCGGTTTCCAGAGGATGTACGCAGCACTTCTGTTAATGGTAGAATATTTTTAGCCGCCGGGAGGAAATTTGGCGCTGGATGAAACTGTTTTTAAACTCACTGTTGGTCTCTCCTTACTTCTGCCACAGTGTCAGTGGAGAGTGAAGGACTTTTTTTGTTGCTGGGCTTTAGTACTATGATAGTCTATTGCAAGGGCTGACAGAGCATTAGTGGTAGCCTACTCAAACTGCACTCAAATTCTAGCAGTTGTAAGTTATATTATTGTGGTGCTATTATAGTGACTTTTTCAGTATTTTTGTTATTTATATAATACATTATTTTGTTTACTGGACAACTTGCACATCATTCTTCATTATGTCTTACTCAGGCCCCATTTAGTTTTCGTTCTATATAATAGCTTTTATGTGTGGGTAATTTAATCTGAATTAAATAGTTAGGAGAGAGCCTCGGTCTACCAGTTACTCATGTTTGGAAAAAAAACCTGGAATGGGGCTGGAGAATGTTCACATTAACAACTGAATAATCAATGAATTTGTTCTTTTCCCAGGTGACTGCCCACTCTGTTTGGAGGTACTTTTCCGCAGTCGGTAATTCAATCCTCAAACTGCAGACCCTTAAATATCTCCCCTGAAAACCGGCCAGCAACCACGTGGTGTAAGGTGAGACATTCCCAACCCGGTACACCACACCAGTCTCACATGGACAGTGGAGTAGGAGCATGACCAGTCTGCCGCTGCAATCTGGCCACTTTAGACCTCTGATTTCATTTTTATTTTAGCCTATACTGAACTTCAAAGGACGGTTTACAAGTGAGGGCAGGGGATTGCTGTGGTGAGTCCCCAAGCCTCTTGTTTTCCTTTCCCTTCTGTTTTGAACCAGTATGCTTTCTTCTTTTTTTGCCGGCCTATCCTGAGCACCTTGCAGTGAATGGAGAACATACTGGTTCTGCTCCCGAAGCACCGACAGGAACACGGGCTCTGCAGACGCACAGCTGCATGTGCCTTGCTGCAGGTTTTTTCCTACAGAGCAGTTTTCTCCAGGTCTTTAATACCGACACCCACTCCCTGTAAGCCTCTTTAATGGGATAAATCAATTGGACTGATCAGGTTCAAAACCAGATCAGGTGGCCAATTCCATTCTGACTTCCCCAAAACTGTTAGGCCGAGGCAACCTGACCTTTTCTTGTCAAGCTCACTGTCTTCCAAAGGCTTCCGCATGGTACTTTGGTCGAAAGAACAAGACAAACTCCCCGACATCGACATGTCCTCCGGGGCCATTGAGATGAAGAAGGAGGGAGGCCCCCTGACCCCGGCCTTCCTCAACTCCAACTGCTCCACCCACCCGGTGATCCTCACCAAGGGCCCTGAGGAGGTGAGCCCAGGGACCGGGGGCGAATTCGAGCTCACAGAGGTCACATCTTTCACCGAGAGAGCCGGTGAGACTGGGGAGGATGAGGAGAGGTCGGAGATTGTGGTGGCAATGGACTGCCGTGCCAACGCCAAAGGTCAGCGGGAGGAGGATGCTCTCCTGGAGAACGCAAGCCAGAGCAACGAGAGCGACGACACCAGCACCGACCAGAGCCCAGAGCCACCGGCACCCCTCAAGGAGACCTCCTTCTCCATTGGCCTGCAGGTGGTCTTCCCCTTCCTGCTGGCCGGGTTCGGGACAGTGGCAGCGGGAATGGTGCTAGACATTGTCCAGGTGAGTAATCCCTGTGTACTCTATACTAGTGAGCACACTGCATGTATTTATGAAAAGAGATTGTAATCAGAGATCAGTTAAGTGTCACTTTTATGCACAAAAAGTTCTTCATTGAACCAAATGGGGTTCTGCTCTTGTACTAACCTTAAGAACATGTATGGAAAACTAATGTTTTAGGTACTTTGGAAGCTGATGACAGGTGGGGAACAAAACTGTTTTTGCCCACCATACTTTGATCTCAATTTGGAGAACAGTATCAGAGGAATGCCTGGATTCAGATATCCAGAAACTGGATTCTAAATAACTAATTCAGACATTAATCTGGTTAGTTGAACTCAAATGTATTCCCTTTAATTGAAATCCAGTTACCTGTAAAAAACAATTGGAGCGGCGTCTTATTTAAAGTAAAATAATTTATTGTTTTACAGACCATGTGTACTGAGTCACACTGTGGGACGGGCTTGTCTCTGGAGCATCTGATTTAACTGGTTTAGTGAGCCCAGTTTGTCTTGCTATGTGTCTGTCATTTTGCTGCTGGCCTATCTGATGGCATGCCCTTTGGGATGGGTGGATGGTACAGTTGTGACACTCCATGGGGGTATTTACATAGCCTGCCTGCCTGTCCCCAGGGCTGGCACACACTGGTACACTCTTTGTCTTCTAATGACCTGTCACACACCCTTCTATTTGAAATCTGGCATACTTTGATACAATAGAGACAAGAATAGAAGGTATTTATTGTAGTACAGTGTGTAGCCAGAGAGCTGCTAGATCAACTCTGCCTCCAAGAAAAGATATAATTAAATGTATTATATCTCTCCTTCCTTCTTTTCCTGTCGACTCACTGCAGTTGATCTCTCGCTCTGAGTATATCTGAATGTGCATGTGCAGAGTAGAAATGCAGGTCTACATGCTGACAGGTCATATATTTCTTTAAAGTCAGCTTGTGAGGCAGATAAAGCTGGAGGCGTCAGGCTGCCAGGAGACCAGTGCAGGGACATTGTGTACACGCACACTTATGCCAACATGGTGGACCCCAGAAACTCAGCACAGAGAGGACGGGAAGAGGCAGGGGAATAAGTGTGCTTTCTTTGAGCACCTGAAATGGCAGCTGACTTCAGTTGAGCCAGAGTCAGGGTGAAAACAAAATACAGTGCAGTGTCAAAGCCTCCATTACGGTGTGGTTAGGTATTCCCGCTAAACCAGGAATGCAGAAGTTTGAGGTCAAAGTTTTCATGCAGCCTCAACTTAGGCACCATGCTGCTGCAGTTTCTCTAGTTTCCAAAACACTCTGCGCACCATTCCTTTGGAGGTGAGGCTAACTGGGAAAGAGGAGACACAGAAGGTACAGGGCCTTATCTTTCCCTTTTGGTTAGCCATGCTTGCCTGTGGGCAAACCTTGAAGAAACGCTTACACTGAGATGCGAGGTGAGGGTTGATGGTCAGTCTGAAACGAATGTTCCATTGAGTTCGGCTGAGCACCTAGCAGGTTGTCTCGCTGCCTAATTCCCCCTCCATGACACCGTGAAACGCTAACTCAGCTAATCCCTCCTGTCCTTGCAGGAAGGTAATTGTCTAACTCTCTCTCAGTCTCTCTCTCTCTCTCTCTCTCTCTCTCTCGCTCTTTCTCTCTGCCTCTCTGGTTTGGTCAGACTACATTTCTCTGGATGAAAACTGTAACACGCTAGAGCCTTTAGCCTGCCGGACCTGAGTTTGGAAGTTGCGGCTTGACTTGGCATTTTGCGTCTCTCTCTATGAGGTTTCTTTGAAATGTGACCTTTTTACCGTTGGTCACATTGACTATGTACAGCACACACACAGAGCTTATGGCCTCATTCCCACTCGAGGTTGGCCCAGAAAGGACTGTCCAGGCTGGTATAGAGGAGTGAGACGTCTGCATAGTTTGCTGAGTGACTTGGCAGCAGACTGACCTAAAACCGTCAGTCTCTCACAGCCAGGGCCAGAAACTTAGGACTCTGAGGGTGACCGGCTCACTAAGACTAAAGGTTGCGCATGGTTTGTAAAGGTCATGTAGTGCTAGTTTTTCTGGGAATGCTAGTGTCAAAGGCCAAATGGGTGTTTTTCTATCGGTCACAAGACACAGTTTCATATTCTAAAACTTACAGTTCCTTGCTCTGTGCAGGCCAAATCCAAACCAAGAATTAAAAGAAAACTGTTAGTACAGTAAACTGCCATTATCATCTGTGTGTATGTCTGACTCAGTGTCTAGCTATCTGTTCTTCGCTGTGTCCGTAGACATACACCAAAATAAAGCAAAGAAGTGGGACACAGCTTAAGCCTCAAAAACAGTCTAAGTCTAAAAATACAGGCACCAGTAAACAGGAAATCATAGTCGACACAATGGTTTAACAGCAGCCAAACACTTGCTGCCCACCAGACACCATTTTGGTCCAACCACATCCACTTGCCTGGTTTTCACACAGGAGCCACTGGGAAACCAGAGCGTGGGCTTATTACCTCAAACTGAATCATTATTCCAACTACTGGCTTCCAACCAGGGCTCGGTTCATTGGACAAAGTTGATGCTCAAATATGCATCATTCCATCCAGAATTTGCCTCAACAGTACCACCTAATATATACATATACAGTATATGATCTATGGTCCAAAGTGCATTTTTCTAAACTTTCAATGGTATATGACTTTTTACACTTCCTATGGACTTATTACACAGCAGATATTTTGCATTGTCATAGCAGGAAATCCACAGGTGTATTAATGACTGCTGTATTCCACTTAGGGGAGGCCCTGCTATTCCTGCTATCGGTTCACTCTCACTGACACTAAATGGAACTGAGCTGTTGTTACTGTTATTAAGTCCACTTGTGTTTATCCGGCTATGACAAGTCAAAATGTCTGCTGTGCAGCCAGTCCATTGCACTGATTGACTGCGTGTTTTAGGTCTCCCATTCATATTGGTCAGTCTTTTCCTTCAGCCAAAGATGTTATGTCCTGACAATCATTAACAACATATCAGCCCACAGCTATTAACACATGACAATACCCCAGTTACTTTTTTAGGATCTGAGTAATAGAGATTGAAAGGATTAGTAGGTTATAATGCTTTTGTGTTGCACCAAACCTTGGCTAATCTTTCACCCTGTCCAGGATCCTCAGGAATCCTAGTCCCTTGTTGCATATTTGCACTCCTTCTAGTCAGATAGTTCTGGCTTTACACTTCGACCACCTTCACCTGGTCTTTGGACGCCAACAGACTTCTTTAAGACTTAGCTTAAAACCTCATCATGTTTTTTTTGTTTACACGTAGGAGCTTAAGTGCTTATTTTTCCTTATGTATTCCTGAAAACTCTTTTGCATTTGCGGCACTAGGCAAATCCAGCACTCCTTATCCTTCCACACAAAAAATAACCCGAATTCAGGGAATTCTTCTTTGTTCATCCATTTAATACCAATAAGGTCCAGTTGCATATGTGACGTTCATCTTCCACCTTTAACTCCAATACACCCCCCATGTCACGTGTTCGCTCATGAGGCTGGGACCCAAACTGTACCATCCATGCTACAGCAAATGAAACAGACACCACCTGATGTTTTTGTGACGCTGCCGGCGTTGCTTTGCCCTTGCACACCATCAGGTTCAGACTCCCACTCAGTACAGCAAGTACAGTGACCACAAATAAAATGGGGCCATGTTACTCAACTGGGCAACTCAACCCTTGTGGGGCTTGCATACCAGAGCTCCTATAGGTCTGTACACAGAGGTACTGGGGTTGTCCAGTAGAGTTCCTAGAACCGAGGAGGTGGCCATGAGGAGGGAGGGCTTGTTTGGCTCAGAGCCAGTGTTCCATGGAGACAACAACATATATCACCACAGGGGAGGCAAAGAGGGAGATAGGGGAGTGAGACAGAAGTAGAGAGAACGAGAGAGAGAGAGAGAGAGAGAGAGAGAGAAAGCTTGAAAACATGCGACTGTGAAAGAAGAGAGGAGTGCTCACAGAGGTACTCACAAGGCTGCTGGGTTGGCAGAAGGCAGTGAGCCAAGCTGAGGGGCTGGCTGTTGGAAAGGAGCTCTGCTTGGCTTGATGACAGCAAAAGTATAGACAGAAGGAGTTTAACCCACAATGGAGTTTTGGTGCCACACCTACTGATAGAACTCAAACTGAATTGTAGACGACAACCCTTATCAGCTCTGTACATCTGGATGCACAGTTGGAGTAACACAGTGAAGCAGAATGAACGTATTAGCTTGTTAGTGTGAGAAATGCTGGCCAGCAGTGTTTGTATGTTGCTTCAATATCAGCTACTCCTCTGTTTTCCTCCCCTCGTCCATTTTCTCGTCTCCTTCTCTTTTCTGTGTCAGCCTCAGTGAATATTGATTCAGCTCTGGGCAGACTGGACTGTAAGTGCTGGGGGCCTTTGAGGCCGGCTCCAAAGATAAGCACTTTTACTGGAGATAGATCGATGGCCTCAGCCTCAGCAATAGCTTTGTTTCTGGCCACAGTAGACCACAAACTTAGCTATAACTGCACGAACTCTAATGGAGACACGGCAGAGAGAGGCACTTCAACACGGTGACAAGCCCAGGGACTTGCAGGATACCCACCTCTCAAGGGCTGGCCAGCAGCCAGGGTGGAGGTTATCAAGGGTCAGGTCTAATAACACCAACTATATATTTCATCACAGGCCATGTAAGAAGAACTGGATGGAAAGCTGAGCATACACGTTTGCATGCACGTGCTAAACATGTGAATCTTTGAAGCAAGCCCACCACCTGCCCAAGTTGTCCTTTAGATTTAGCTGGCCTAGCTCCTGGCTGACTTCTTTCTTTGGTTCTTGGGCTAATGCATGCAGCAAAATGTTGCTTTTTTAAGCTGAGGTAGGCGGTGAGCACGAGGCTGAAGCACTCTGACATATAGGGGCTTTGAATGATTTGCCAATATAAGTATGTCATGTTTTTTATTTCCACCATGGTGCATGGTATAGTCCTGTGTTCTCTGCTACCATTGTACCATCTTCCCATTTCTTTCAAGTTCATTGATTTACCCTGAAATTGTGTTCATGTTAACCAATTTCAGTTTTGGAGTGAGAGCGTCCAGTCGATTTCTGTCGACACAGGAGCTTTAGTAACGGTTGCTAGGAGCAGCTGACTTAACGTTTCTAACAGCGACCAAAGAAACACAACAAATCATGAGTTGTTATGAGTTGACTTACAACAGTAAGCAGTTCCTTCCATCTCATCCATGCTTTTTGCCATTTTTCTTTTGCTGTTTTCATGGATGCAGCAAGGCAGCTAGCTAGCTAGGTAGGAAGATGATGTTTCCATTCTTAAAGCATTGTTTGGTCGACTCTGATTGGCTGGGGAAACACACTGTGCTACACACAGTCGAGGGCTAAAAAGCTTGTGCTGTATACAGACGGGACCAACTTCCCTGGCTGTGTTGGAATTTATTTCAGTCTGGACAAAAGAAATTGGAGCAGAGGAGCCTATCTGCAGAAAAATACAGAATGAAGAGTTAGAAAATAAAATAGAATAAATTTCCCAAAGTACATGACCAAAGTTATACATATTGACTGTCCTTACCACTGAACACAAACCTG